GATGCGACTCTCATCGCTGTGTCCTCTTCAACACCACGCTCTCTCTGCATCTAATCACTCGCCACCTATAGGCCTGCGGCGAGTAAATGGGCAGTCGGTGGGCGTACAACGCCAACCGCGCCAAAAATGAGCCCTTCTAGGTCGTCGAGGTTAGATCTTTAGCTGCCATTGCGTGTCAGTATGTACCCTCAGGATCCGGATCCTCAACTAGGTGATCTACTTCTTCTTCGACCTTCACTGAATTTTGGTGTTGAATTCCTCCTTTAGAACAAGGGCATTAAAAATTTTCCTTACAAAAATATATATAGTTGATGCTGCTTCATGAAATAAAGTGCACTATAGTTTCTGGAAATGCTGAATTTAGGAAGCTAGAAAGCAAGCTATGAATCCTCCATCCTAACCCGCTACTTTCGGGACTTTCGGGGGTGCCTTCCCCTTTGAAACGCAAAGTAGTAGGATGTCTTTCCACCCGTTTTTATTATCTTAACTCACTTTCTGAGCTATTATTGCATGGGAACGGACTGATAGCGATTTAAAAGACAAAGTAACAAAGAAGTAGAAAAGCACTACGAATTGCCGGTTCATAAATAATAAGTGGGAACAAGGAGATGTGTGAATTTTGAATGCTTGTGGTCCCACATCAAAACCCATCCACTCACTCGTGGCTTCCGTGACATTATATTGCTAAAAATATCCGTTGAAGCTGCTTACCACGTCGTGGCCGGCCTCATGGAGAATATCGGCGATTGCTCCCATAAACTGCATGTGAGAGTATCCTAACGGAGCAGAGTAGACAAGGATTTTCAGAGTTAGAACGGTGGTAAACAGAGCATTCAAGATCAGGAGGGCTCGCATGTCACTCTGAAACACGGAAATTCTCTCAGAAAGTAATGAGCCTGAAAAGGTACTCGAGGAAGGTCTTGGAGGTACACAAACGGCCTAACAAAGCTTTTGTGGGAGACATTGTTATCACATAATTGTTGTCTTAGTTTAACGTCTGTCTAAATTTATAATCTCCTACGTGACTCCATTTGGAAGCTAGAAAGTTGTAGTGTACTTGTGGTTTGCTCTTACAGAACACACAAAAGTCATGATGCCGCGTTATCACTGTGAGCGCCTTTTCACAGAAAAGAAAGTGTATATTTGGTCCATAAACGAAAGACCAAAATCCACAGAGAAAATTTGACATTCTTCCCAAAATGAAGAGTGGTATCTCATTTTCATGTCAGGTGGATTGATCCCTTACTCCTTCACTTTTTAGTCTTCTTCAGCGGTCTGTGAATGCCTCGACGCTCCTGACTTGTAAGCTGCTCGACCAAACATTTCTCCACCTTCCTGAAATGGCGTTTCTGACTTCACTCCAGGACCGACAATTTTAAGTCACCGAAAACTCCACTGCCTTTTCGGAGGATCAGTTCATACTATGCTGTTACTTCGCTAAAGTAGTTTTAATGAACCTCTTTCGTTTATTTTGTTACTCCATGGTCCAACAAGAGAATGCTTAATCAAGGATCGCCCGCAGATCAAAACTAGAGCGGCATCTCGTGCTCCTGAACAAGACTCTAGAAGCGGTAGAGGAAAGGAGATATTTACGATTTTACTGATACTACTTTTACTTTTACTGATTTGACAAATGAAACGAGTTTTGTAGAAATATGATTACGCTTCAACAAGGTGAAGTTGAAGATTATCAGCTCCAAATGATTTCAACCACCCTTGTTAAAGGCACAGTTTGGGCTGACCCACTTAAGAAATC